GTTTACTACTTTATGCTAGATGTATAAAGCCATTTTTCTGATCTTATTCCAATACATGTATGCGTAATTGTGTTATAGGGAAATTAGATTCTAAAGTTACAATTGAAATTAAATTGATTTAATAGTTTATTTTCCTCATGATGAATTAATTTTGAGATTGACTTAATATTTATTAAATTGGTCATATAATTAGTTATGCTCTCTCTATGGATTGATTGAAATAATTATTTAGGTTTTAATCTCAATTATTTACGTTTATTGATATGATTCTGTACTGTTTTATGATTTAGTATATAGTCGATTTTGAATCTGATTTTGATAAACCAAGTGCGAACATTGCAATTTTAAGATTAACCATTATGATCATGTTAGAATTAAATTGGGTTTAAACGATATATCTTCCGATTAGAGTGTCGGGATGAAAGCCTCTAATTGTGCTCTAAAAATGGAATAATTGATTGAATGATCCAATCCAACTGAGGGAATTCCGACGCTTCACAGCCTCAAATTATTGATTTTAATTTCATATTTTAAACATTGAATTTCACTAAATATTGAAGAGAACAATTCACTCTTCTTGATCATTTGAGCATTTTCCATCTCCCTGTGGATACGACATTCCAAAGCTGCACTACAACTACCGCGTTATTCTTTGGGCATAATCAATTCCCACGAGAATTATGTACTTAATCTAATATCAATGAGTTCCAAATTTAATCGAATAGCCAGGTGTGTTTGAAAATTTTATACTAATTAATCTAATTAAACAACGTATTCTAATGAGAAAATTATGAGCTTTTGTAAACTTAGATGAGACGGTTATTAAAATCAAGGTTGAATCTAAATTCGATGAAATCTTAAAATTGCCTTTAATTTTCTTACAAGATCAATGAATTTGCCTCTCTTTAATTTTTTGGCCACATTATGTTTTTATAGGAATGAAATTATGTAAAAAATCGTGCAAAAAAAGTTGTTTCCATGTAGAAATTTTGGAAGAAAAAGGAAACAAGCTGCGTTTGGAAGGTTTGGTTGGGTCTTGGGGTGATCGATAAGGCAAAATTCAGGTAAACACCTAGGCATATTTTTCAGCCAATGTTTTTTATTTCTCAAGCTAGATGATCGCCCGACTTTATAACTAGGTAGTTGCCCAATTATACAAGCTTTCAAACTATGTGTTTTGGTCTCTGAATTCGAGTCTTAATTCTTTTAAGTCCTTTCATCTTGCAATTTCGGCCCTTTAACTTCTAATTGCATTCAATTAAACCCGTAACATCATTTTGTGGTCCAAATAAACTATTGGAATGTTTCAATTTAGTCCCCATACTTTGGATTTCACTTTTTTTCGCCAATTTTCGCTTCTTTCGTTCAATTCCTCTTCCATTCATCAAGTTTCACCTAATAGAAAAAATGATATACTATGAATTAGGCCATGTTAATCCAAAGAACTTCAAAATATTCATATTTAAAGGGCCGAATAAGCCATCAAATTCCCATGAAGCTATAATAGCCAAGAAGTTTCTCTATGGATGACAACAATGGAAGAAAAAATTGGAGCTCTTCATAAAAATAAGATATGGGATCTTGTTCCACTACCACAAGGCAAGAAGGCCATTGAAAAAAAATGGGCCTATAAGATTAAGCAAGATGATAATGATCAAGTGAAGCGGTATCGTGCAAGATTTGTAGTGAAGGGATACACTCAGAAAGAATGTATTGGCTTTAATGAAATATTTTTTTTCTGTTGTTCGACTCACAACAGTTCGAGTAGTTTTGGCAATCTGTGCTACATTCAAATTGTACTAGAGTAGTTTGATGTGGAAACTACATGCTTCATGGAAAAACTTGAATAAAAGATTTATATGCTCCAACCAAAAGATTTGGAAGAAAAAGGAAAAGAGACATTGGTTTGTAGGTTGAAAAAATATTTATACGTCTCAAATAGACATTGAGATGTTGGTACAAGAGATTTGATTCCTTCATCATGAGCCTTGGATACAACAGCCTCAATTAGATCCATGTGCTTACTATATGAGATTTGGAGATAGTGATTTCATTATTCTACTGTTGTATGTTGACGAAATGTTGGTAGCAGGTCCCAACAAATATCGTATTAAAGATTCAAAGGTACAATTGGTAGAGAGTTAGAAATGAAGACTTGGGACTAGAAAAGATGATTCTAGTGATGAAAATTTACTAAGATAGAAATAATAGGGAGATTTGGCTTTCTAAGAACTATTTGAAAAAAAAAAAAAAAATCTTGTGGAGCTTCAACATGCAATGCTATAAGTCAATTTCTACATTTCTTCCTATTACTTTTAAGTTATCCTAAAGTATGAGTAGAAATGAAGCAAAGATGATGTAAATGTCTCTAGTATCGTACGCATCAACAATAGGTAGCTTAATGTTCACTATGATTTGTACAAAGCTAGACATTGCACAAGAAGTGGGAATGGTTAGTCTATACATGGCAAATCCTAGTAAAGAGCATTGGAATACTATAAAGAGAATCCTGAGATATGTCATGAGTATCTCAAATGTTGCATCATGTTATAAAGGATTAGACTTTATTGTTAGAGGCTATGTTGATTCAAAATATGCAAGTGATCCTCACAAAAATAAATACACCACTATATACATGTTTACTCTCCCTGGGAGAGCTGTAATTTGGGTTTCAAAACTGCAATATGTCGTGGCTACTTGTATAATGGAGGCGGAATATCTATAGCTACACAAGCTAATAAAGAGGCAATTTGGTTAAAAATATTAATGAAAGAGCTCGGACACAAACAAAAGAAGATTGCTCTATTTTGTGATAGCCAGAGTACTTTTACGCTAAGCAAAGAATTCAACATTTCACTCGAAGACAAAACATATTTAAGTTCAATATCACTTTGTACTTGAGAATGTAGAAGAAGGATGTATAGATATACATGAAAATATGCACTTGAGACAACGTAGTAGATATATTTACAAAGCCAATCAACAATGACAAGTTCATATGGTGTAACGGAAACATAAGTGGCATGGACGGCAAATGTAGAAATGATAAAAAAGTTATTACAAAAATGATTTTAAGTGGGAGAACTATAGCGGTAAAGCCACTTTTTTCGTGTTCACACAATGCAGCCATTTGATGTTCATACCAAGTTTTACTACTATATATAGGTCATAGAACCACTTACTTGAGGTATCCCATTCTTGTGAGAAAAACAAAGAGAAAGAGGGTTTGAAAGAGAAAAAGGAAAAGTTTCTCCTAAACGCTTGCAGTTTTTTTATTTGTTTAAAAGAGTACGTCTTTTCCTATTATAAGAGTTTATTGTTATTGTACTCTCCTTATAGAGAATTTGTAATCATTTTGTTATAGTGAAATCCTTCTATAGTTTGTTTGTAATTTTTGTTTCATTAATTTTTCCTTATTTTTTCTCATTTACACTTTAGTTGTATTTTTTGTGTTTCCTCTGCATCTTCCTAACAATGACTTATTTTTGTTCTCTCAATGTAGTCTGGTGTCTAATATTTTTGTTCCCTTAATGTTGTCTAGGGTCTAATTGGTGAATTGGACTTTACTATTTAACTCACGCAAGTGGAGTATGGACTTTTTCACTACACCAGAATTAGCCTATGGCAACGCGCAAAAAACGTTGTCATAGACCTTTTGCAGCGTTCGGGTGCACGTTGCGGGCTTTGATGTCGCCGTAGAGTTCCAACTTTTGGCAACGTGCATC